GATGGATGGATGGATGGATGGATATATGTATCATATATCATAGTACATATATATAATTGTATTTTTAGTTGCTAAGTTTTTTGAGTTAGGGAAAAAAACTGCCTTCAGTCAGTACAAATGACAACCAGATTTTACTCATAATCAGAAGTTTATATTTCATGATTTCTATATATTTAATTTTTGTAATATCCACTTCTTCATGTTGCAGTCTTTCTGTTCAATCCAAAGGTGGAGGAGGACTTCTGTTTTCTTCTTTCCTTTTATGGGTCAGTGTGTGTCTCGTTCCTCCGCCAGTAAATCTCCTTAGTGTTTGTTGAATTAGGCCTGGAGCAAGTGAGTGCAAACACAAACAGCTTTAAGGCGCAGATCCAAATGGTGTAAAACTACAGAAGCTCCAGTTCTATGCACTTAAACAAGTGACCCACAAAAATCCTGCAAAATATGTAAAGAAAGATCAACTTTTATAATGTTTTTTCTAACTTTTATTCAATAATTAATAAATGTTACTGTAGCATATTAATTTTATTAGCCAATGTTTTAAACACTGTATTATATTCATATTCATATTCATATTGTTTTTCATATTCATATATTAACTTTTCAACAAACTGTTGACAATAGGAACAGAACTAAAGCGCTTTTAAATAACATTGAACATATTATAAATTATATTTGTTCAAAAATGATTGAATAACAGATTTGATTTTATGATAATGATTTAAAACATGTAATAGTTTTAACTTTTTATTATTACATAGTTTTTCTTATCTTCCCTCTAGTTTTCTGAGAGCCACCTAGTGACCCCTGGTTGTCCCCACTTTGAAAAATACTTCTATAGTTAAGTGAGCCTGGTTTATCTGAAGGTAGAGCACGCACACAAATTTTCTTTTATAATCTTTCAGAAAAAAAATTGCATTTTGTGCAACAACTAAAATCTGAAATTTGTTTGAATTTTTTTTTGAAAACCCAAAGAGTCTAAGAAAATCTGGCTTCTTGGAAGCAAAGGACATTAGGGGTTAAAATGTTTGCACAGGACTGTATCTAAAGCCAGGTTGTTCTGCCTGTGGTGATGGATTAATTGTTAATTTTTTAGCCCAATATATTCTTAAATCCTGACTTTATTCCTGGCAGAGCACTCAGCCCACGAGTAAAGTGACTCAGGTCTATAAACTCTCCTCTGCAGCAGCATCATTTCTTCCATCAGTCTGTAATCTCCTGCTCGGTTTATGGCAGTAAAATGAAAGGCCAGGCTGTGTCCATGCAGGGGCCTCCACCTCCTCCTCTTTCTCTGAGAATGGGGAGCAGGAATGTGTGATGGGCTGGCTGTATGTAGGCCAGTGATGGGCCTGCCTGTGCTGCTCTCTGTCTTTGGCTTAAAAAGTTCAAGTCATTATTCTCCTCCTGCTGCTATTCAGATGAAGTCCTGTTGGCTCATTGTTATTCTGCCCGAGTGACAGAGGGGGGACTCGGAGAATGAGAGTCCAGCCGTGGTTCTCCCAACTGCAGGGAGCTGTTTGTACTGCTTGAGGTGGTGCTGGTAGGCTTTTTCCAGGCTTGAGGGCACGTTGGTAATCGGCTCAGTAATGAAGAAAGGTACTGAACGGCACCGAATATCTGACCCTAATTCCTGGAAGTAAAAAAGGAGGCAGAGGAAGAGGAGGGGGCCACAAAAAAGGAGAAAGGCCATGTGAAAAAGGAGGTGGAGGGGAGGTGAGATTTAGAGCTCTGCTGGATGAAGCAACCCCCCACTAACCAACGAAGAGGGAAAGTAGTCTAATAGGAAGAAAAGAGGGGGTGTTTTACTGTTCATTAAACACTGAAAGACTTGCAGCAAGCTTTTATCGTTTCCCACAATGAGCCCAGAAAAGGTACGTAACTTCTTCTTTTTCTTCTTCTTTTTATGTAGCTGATCTTTTTATTACTGTTACATAAACTGTGCTGAGAGTTGAAGAGCATCAGGTAGTTGTTACTGAACTGAACTGTAAGGATAAATACAAGAAAGCTGTTCAATCCTCAGGAAAATCATCCACTGTTTCATTAGCAAACCAAGTTACACTTGGATTTATATTTGCCTTATTACAACTCTTTGCAATTTAGTGACTCAAAACACTTGCAGTTGTAGATTTTTAAAAGAGCATGTAAGAAAGGTTGATTTGGAACTAAATTGGCACTTTTCTTTGAACATCAAACATTAAATGAAGATAAACTA